TAATTTTATTTTTTAATTATTTCTTTTCTCACTGGGTCCTAATATTTTTTTGTCTGCTTCTTCTCACATGCTTTTCTCATTCCCCAATTTTCCTCTTAACGTTTACCTTAACTCCTACTTCCTTGACTTACTCAGAATACATTACAGATCAAATTTTCAAAGAAATGCAGTATCTGTTATTTCAAAAGAAGTCATCCAGTTTTGAATGGATTATAAAACATGGTGCCTTACGTATAATATGTTTTACTTGTGAGGAAGACAAGATATGTAAACGCTTGAAAAGCAGTTGCAAGGTGCGATCCGATACTTTATAAAGTAGGGTCACTAGTTTCCACAGAACTTATGAACATTTGCTTGCTCTTTTACAGCTATTGATTTTTAGTTTAAAATTCTCGTAATTTATAGTTTTTTCTTTCAAAGCCTTGGGATGAAGCAAGATTTTACTGCTCACAGAACTTCTTTTTCAACTGTTTTTGAAATGAGGAAATATATAGTTCAGTAGATCGTCGTGCTGGCATTGAACCTACATTTTTCAAATGCTGATTAAGAGTAGTTCACTGACGGCCTCACTATAGTTGTTATAACTTCTCGCTATACAGACTTTGCAATTTCTCAATTTTGAAACCTCTCAAAGCTTTTGTGTATTATTTGAGCAGTTTCTTTGTGGACGAAAAAATTAAAGAAACTTCATCCTTTTTAATGCACTATGTATTGATTGCATTACTCATTATTGAGCCTTCCCAACAGTGCTATTTTATTCGTGTGAACGAATGGACATAAAGTTTACACACGTGTATGCGTACTTAAAATTTGTGAAAAATGTTATCAATTACGAAATAAAGAGGCTTCCAGCATTTGAAGAGTTTCTGTTACAGAATGTAAGTAAGATTTTGCAGATTTTTGTTCTATCAGGTTGACAATAGATGACTAAGTGTTTTAGAAATATGATTATTCGAAACTTACGTGGAGGATTCCAGATCGGAAGGAAGTGTTATACAAAACGGGGATGTTTAAGCACTGCAGAACTGTTTGCTTCTGAAGGGTTATAAAAGTACCATCGGAAACTTATTAACAATGCGCCTTCATTAACCAGTTTTACTTTTAACGCAATGCGTGATTGTAGTTTAGTCTGATGGTGCGAGTGGAAGTGCCAAAAAGTGATTAAGTTGCAGGGTAACTAAATTATGGTGATTCCTGATACGTATTTTTGGGAAATTTGGTGATGCATTAAACTTTAACTTGGCGACAGAAGACTCCATTTTAGGACTTCCTCTTTTTTCTGCTTCACCTTTATTCTTTCCCTTCAGCTCTTCTAGGTACCGTTTCTTTTGAGAATGTTTAAATGAGAAGAGGTTTAGAATGATAATCAATCCAACGGTTTTATTACCATTAATTTGTTGGAAGAAATCTGGGAATTTCCCAATCATTTCGTATCAAAGTTGCCCAGTTCAGTGCAGAATAAGTTACAGTTATTTTATTTTGATAACATAATTACGCATAAAGGCGGTTCCATATAGTTCTTTCAAGTGACAGAGAACAAATGTATTGATGGCAGTAAAGCTTGGAAAGGTATTAGCGTAGGAATATTTTTGTTTCCTTTTTTTTATTTGGCAGCAGACATTGTAGGAAAAGTGGAAACATATCGGCAGTCACCAATTATTTGGCAAAATTATAGTTTTTTTCAACGGCTGAGATTAAGGACGATTAAGAGGCATCAGTTAGTAGTGCTATTGCAGATCTTTTTACTTTTACGAATTTATTCGTCCTTTCGATGTTTTCCTTTTTGTCTCACAGTAATGGAAGAAGGAAAAAGGGAAAGAATCTTTACAACTAAAAGTTTCGCAAAAAATTTAGTTTTAGAGTGAAGGAAGACTATTGATATTCTTGAAGCACGTTAGGTAAAAGTAGATTTTAAGACATTTATTTGAAGCAGATGTGGATTCAAAGAATTGGTTGTAGTAAAGTGCATTCTTCCCCATCAACGGACTTCAACAAATTACTTATTAACAAAGGAAACCGTAAAAAGCTATGACTGAAACTGAAGGAGATAGTCAAGATGTTTTGAAAGAACAAAATCTTGAATCTGGATAAAAAAGCTTAATTTACGCTCATCTAATTTAGAGACTGCACGAGAAACATTGACAAAAAACCATTATATTTAAAATCTTTTTTCTGCACAATTTAGCGAAGAAGTCTAAGGGTTCCTGTCAAGCCAGTTATGTTCTTAAATCGTTTTTTTATTACAGTTATTACTACAACAAAATGATAAATCGAGTTTTCCTTTTTTTCAATATTTCCCTAAATTGAGGAGAAAAAAGGAGCAAAATCTTCTATTTGGCGAAAAAGATTGAAGTCATTTGCAGAATTCGTTTTGATGCAGACGTTTTAGATTAAAGCATTTTATTTGCTAAAAAATAATCACCAAAGTCGCCGTATATATTCTCCACGTACATCGCGAGGTGTACCAAATGCTGACATACCAGTCTGTAAAAAGGTTTTTGAATTCTAATTCTAGTAGACCAAAAACAGCGGATGACTTTTATTTGATGACAGTAAGTCCTCTTAAAAAGTTAATAATTGAAGTGTCGGGAAATATCCAGCCACTTTTAAGAATAATTTGTATCCTCTTAGTAAGATAAATGAACTATAGTAATGAGATAATGTTGACTTGCCTGGTTTGCAAATTCAGTTTCTTGTCCGGACCAAAACGGTACTTCAGGTCTTCGCGCCATGTCCAGAGGTAATTCTTCATGACTATCGTCCACGTACGGAGTATACACCTATAAAATTAACGATTAGACACCCGTCAGCATTTGTCCAAAGAACCGGGTTTTAATACAGCTTTTACTGTAAAAGACTATTTTTATAAAATTATTTTTACTGCTCACATTGCTTTTCCAAAAAATCTTTAACTGCAAAGCATTTTTGATTTAAAGAGATAGTCGTTAATACCGGTCGTCTTAAATAAAACTGTTAGCCAAAATGACCTGTCTTGGCATGCCAAATCCAGTTTTTCCAGCTTGAGAATCCAGAAAGTTGACACCCATTTGATAAGGTATCATCCCCTGAGAACGTTGTTCTTGAGCTTGCATATTGGCTACCGTGTTGTTCCTGAATGCACCAAAGCCAGTCATTCCTGCTTGCGACGCTCCTTGAAAAAAACTGATTGAAATGCATCATATACAAGTTTGAGAGACATACCACCTTTAGAAAATGACTGTGGAGACTGAGTATCGATAGGAAAAAAATCTTACCTTCTTTCCAGCCACTAGTCTGTCTAGAAACGACTGACTCATCGTGTGGCATTTCACCTCTTTGTTCGTCTTTATACTTAGTAATGTTGTGACGAGGCATACCGAAACCGGTCATCCCAGACTGGTTGGCAAAACGATTGGTGCCCATTTGAAGGTGAATGAACCCTTGGCTGTCGCGATCTTGTTCGACCGTCTTCCTCACTAACAACTTATTTGTTATCCATAATTTTTAATAGATCTATTTTTTCTTGCTCAAGTGAAAATTTAGAGGCAGAAAGTAGTTGTCAATAATAATAATAATAATAATAATAATAATAA